CACATGGTCATGCAGATCCATGCACACACGTGCAGGAGCACACACACACTCACATCAGACCAGGCGCAGTCATGCAAGACCATGCATACTCATGCAGGACCACACACGCTCGTGAAGGACCACGCAGGATCAACACACACTCATGTAGGACCATGCATGCTCGTGCAGGAACATGCATGCTCATGCAGGACCACACATGGTCATGCAGGATCACACATGCTCTTGCAGGGCCATGCACAATCAGGCAGGAACATGTGTACTTATGCAGGACCATGCATGGTCATACAGGAACACTCACGGTCATACAGGAGCACACACACTCATGCAGGAGCACACACACCTGTGTAGGACCATGCATGGTCATGCAGGACCACTCAGTGGTGCAGGACCCGCACACTCATGCAGGACCACGCATGGCCATGCAGTTCCACACACGCTCACGCATGTGCAGCGAGCTGAGAGAGCGAAGGTGACCCATGGCGCTCGTCACCTCCTGGGTTGTTGGTGGGGTCCCATGTTAGGTCCTGTGCTGGTCCCCAACCCTCTTCCCATTGGTGACATCCCGAAGCTCCCGCACGTTGGGTGGACGGGGTGAAGCTGTGCTGAGCTCTGGTTCTCAGACCGGTGGCCCGAGTAGGTCTCTTGAGCAGGGACAAGCAAATGGGCAAAGTCACCTTGTCCTGGCCACGTGGGCTCACGTTAGAGCCTGAAACGGGAGGAGGCCCCCAAGGCCTCCCTGTTGTTGCACCACCACGAGCTCGCGTGCCAGTTGGGATGAGTGGGAGCAGGGGCACCCCGTCCCAACGGACACGGGAAGGTCAGGAGGATGCTCGGGAGGGCAGCGTGGAGGAGGCCTTTGGAGCAGGAGGCCGCGTCGCGTCCAGCGTGGCCCCGTGCCCGTGATCTCCGTGTGCCCCTGCTGGCCGCGGAGCCGGAGCAGGGCGTTGTAGGACCACACGGATGCCGCAATAAGGGTCCGTTTGTCCCCCGGGAATGAATTTCCACCCGGTGGGGTAAATCCTTGGTGGAAAGCGTCTCCCTTGCACACGCTGGGCGCTTTGGCGGGGGGGACACGGCCTGTCCCACGGGCAGCGAGGCCGCCGGCCCCCTGGCCGCGGGACGTGCGTTTCCTCCCGCTTTGCCGCGCGTAATCCCGGCTTTCCCTCCCGCCCGGCAGCGTGTTCGGCCAGGCCGGGCAGAGCCAGGCGGCGCCGGCGCAGCAGGGCATGTACAACAACATGAGCATCACCGTGTCCATGGCGGGCGGCAGCGGCGGCGTGCAGAGCATGAACCCCATGACGGCGCAGATGCAGATGAACTCGCTGCAGATGCCCGCGATGAACTCCATGTGCTCGGAGCAGGTCAGTGCTCCCGGCCGCGCCGCGCTCGCCGCCTCCTCCCCGCAGCGGCCCGGCGGCGGGATGAGAGCCGGTCCCGCCGGCTGAGCCGCGCTCCTGCTTCCCCCCAGGTCAGCGACCCGGCGCTGAGACCCGCGGGCCTTTACTGCAACCAGCTTTCCTCCTCGGACCTGCTGAAGACGGAAGCGGACGGGGCGCAGGTCAGTAGGAACGCTCCAAGCGCGGCTCCGGGATCCGAGCGGGCTCCGCTCGGCGCCCGGCGGGATGCGAGCGCCGCTCGCGGCATCGCTGCGGGCTCATCCGGCCCTCCGGCACCCACGGAGCGCTAACGCGCTGGGACCGGGGTGATAAAATCGTGGATGGACGAGGTGCTAAAAGCTCCGGTCCGGCAGCGAGCGAGCGGGATTTCCTTCCTAAGCCGGCGTCTCCCCGGAGGGCTCGCGGCGGTCCCGCGGGAACGCCGAGCGGAGCGAGGGCAGCTCCTCGCGCGGCCGCGCTCCGTGTCCTGCCTGCCGCGCC